ACAGAAATCCACAAAGATACCCACACAACAGACTGCCGGCAATGGTCGAGAGACAGCCCGAACTGACCTACTCTGGTGATGGGATGGCCAAACACCCTAATTGTTGTGCTAGAAACCTCATCCAACTACTTTTTAACTTTGTAACCACAGGTAGCTGCCAGCTGATGTAAGTGTTGTGAGAGCAGGATGAGTCTGGCTCGATATTTAGTTAAGCCTGCAAAAATGCTGAACTCTGTGTCTAGAATAAGGTTATGCAGGGAGTGGGAAGGTGAATTTGGGGAAGCATGAAGGGGATCAATAGGGGTTTTCATAATGATCATGATGTTTTTCTTAAATTGTGTTGTATTTCTTAAAGTGAAAAATAGAAGCCAATAATAAAGCTGTTCATGTAACCTTGGTAAGAAAAACTCTGTTTAAGTATAAATAAAGATGGCTTGAGCTATTAGGAGCCACTTGAATGCAATCCACTTGATGGTCAGAGGTTTTCCTTGTGCTGACGCCCCTTCTCCACCTCAGGACCTGAACCTGAGTCAAGGCTGGACCCTGGCAACCCTGCTATCTTAAGTAGGGTAAAGAACTAAAAAACCGAAATTAAATTGCTTATTAAACTTTGAGTATATGTGTGTTCCTAATGATTTTTGCTTGGAAGAGACAACCCTGTAGAAAAGAGAATGAAGCTCGAAATCTTTTTTTTTTTTTTTCCTTAGATGCAAAACCAGAACTTCAGCCGGAATATACGGTTGGTCTAAACTCTCAGGCATGAGTTAAAACCAAGCCTTCTGATCCCAAATCTCAAGCAAGGCCTTTCCGATGGTCCCTTCAGGTCCCCTGCTTCTGAGGTGAGAACACCACTGAGCAGTCATCCTGGAGAAGGCGAAGACCCCATCTTCATAGGCTGTCCCTATAAATGCGCCGTATGCTGTGAGTAGGGACCCAACAAAGGCACAGACTACCCCATAGCCAAGGTGGCACTGTCCTCTTATGCAGAAGAGGGGACTGAGTATATAAGGCAGGAGAACTTGGCCAGGAAGTGTCAGAGCTGAGAATCCACCTTAGCAAGGAGATGATGAGCAGGTAGTTTTCACAGAGGGTAGAGAGACCATTATCTTGTTAGCCTGTTGGGGGTGAGGTGGATTTCTGGTGGGGTCACCAGAGTGGAAGCAGCGTCAGAAAGGCCCAGAGATCCAGAACAAACGCACACCTTGTCTGTGTGTAAGCAGGTGACAAATGTACATGGACAAGGAACTCTTGTGGCACAACAGCCCTATGAAAGACTGGAGGGGAAGCCGTTCACACGAACAGCACTTGGCTCTGTGGTTAGCCGGCAGCTTGACAACCCATCCAGCTGTCCTTCCCCTTCACAGCCTATTTCCAGGAATGGCAGGGTCAGGGTCTGAAAGGCGTTTTCTGACCTCGGAACTAAGTACACAAAAGCAAAAAAACAGACACTGTGATCAAAGACAGCACCTTCAGTGTGACCTGGCTTCACTGTTGATCTGCTACCATTCTGCCTTCTGCCATTGAACCAGCGTGGCGTGGAGGCGGGGGGGGGGGGGGGGGGGGGGGGGGGGGGGGGGGGGGGGGGGGGGGGGCGGCTCTGGCTTCAAATAACAAGGGATGTAAGAATACTGAAGAGACACAAGGCGGGGGGGGGGGGAAGCTCTGGCTTCAAATAACAAGGGACGTAAGAATACTGAAGAGACACAAGTCAAGATGCTTCCAGTCTTTTCGATGCCCTGAAGCAATAGGCATATGCTTTAACCGTGTGGCTGAATACCACCCTGAACAGTTTTACACTCACAGGGATACATTTGCAGGAATTAAGGAAACTAGGTCCTTCGTATGCCCGATTCTGGTTGGAAGGGACCTGGAAGGGCATCTCAACCATATTTATTCTGGTGTTTGGTGGCCTCCACCACACCACCCGCAGTCTCTGTGTGAAACTCTCACAGTGGGTTCCCTCAATACTCCTGGCTAATACGGTTTTTTCACGGCAGCTGCTGTATTTAGATCTGGAATGCCTCCAAAGGTCCTTGTGTTAAAGATTGAGTATCCGGCCTGGGGCATTATCGGCAGGTGCTGAAACCATTAAGATACGGAGACTGGTAAGCAGTTTTAGGTAACTGAATAATACTTCTAACTAGATTGTGGGAACTGGTCTTTTCCCTCGTCTTCTCATTTCCGGCTGTAAGATAGATAAGCTGTCTTCTGCTTTTAGTTCCCACCACACGACACTGCCTCATCACAGGCACAGAAGCACGAGGAAAAACTGACCATAAAGTCAAAGTGAATTTTTCCCTCTTTGTAAGTCAATCATTTCGTGTATTTTATTAGAGTAGTGAAAAATGGGCTGACACAGAAAAACAGCTATTTAGAAATGTAGTCCAGGGGCCAGTGGGATGGATGGCTCAGTGGGTAAAGGTACTTGCAGTCAAACCTGACGACCTGAGTTTGAGTCCCACAGCCCATGTAGAGAAAAGACTCCTACAAACTGCCCTGTGTCCTCTGACTTCTATATGTGTATCATGGCATGCACATGTGCCCCCACACACATGCACACAAGCGTACACAAATAAATAAATAAATAAATAAATAAATAAATAAATAAATAAATAAATAAATGTAAAAGAGAAATGTAGTTCAGAACTTACTGAATGGTGTTTCTTAACTATATTGTGCCATTTCTACTATTCTGTCCCAACCAACCAACAAAGCAAGACTATTTACTCACAAGATATTCATTGTCTTCTCCCTCTAACACCACAGAATAATTATTGCATGATTCCAGCTACGTGCTCCATCTAAAATATTTAACTTCCTAGAGACAGAAAGTAGAATCGCAGTTATCAGTAGTGCTAAAGAGGGGAGTGTTGGGTTGTTATTGTTTAATGTGTAGAGTTTCAGTTTGGGATGTTGAAATATTGTTGGAGATGGGTTCTGGCAACCTCATAAACAGCATAAATGTTCTTACTGTCTCACACATTTAATAATGGTCAAAATGATATGTTGTATACATTTTACCACAATAAAAATGACTATAATATAATGGATTATAATCAATGCAAACAAACACAGCCTAAGGTAAGGGGGTCGGGCAGAACTATTTTATATAAAATTGCAGTAAATTTCTCCTAGATGAGAATCTTTGAATAGAAGAGAAAGAGCCAGAGAGAAGAGCACTAAAGAGGGAGGATATCCCAGTTAGAAGACCGTAGTGTGGAGTCTAGAAGTATTCTTCATTTATTGACAGCAACAAAAATGTACAATGTCCTTTATACTGTACGCATGTGCATGTGTATATAGTGGGCTTGCACACAGTGTATGCATGTGCATGTGTATCTAGTAGGCATGCACACAGTGTATGCATGTGCATGTCTATACAACGGGTGTGCACAGAGCATGTGTATGCTTGGGTATGTGTGTATTTCTGTATTGGAAGCAAGGAAATTGGCAGGACCAACCACTTGAACCTACTTATGGTAACTCAGTCATGAGAATTAGCAAAATGGATGTCAATGGAAGGGGCGATGGTGCTGCATTAAGGCAGACAGCCATGCTGCACTCATTGGAGGCCTCTGGGAAATCCTCCTAAGGAGCATACAATACAGTTCTAAAGAGAGTTGCTTATTAATCTGGGGTTGAAGGTCAGCTGGGATTATCCCTTTTTATCAGGGTTGGCTCCTCCCTCACTTTGAGGCATCTGTCGGATTTCCAGGTTGAGTGGTGGCTTCCCTGCCACTGAACCCTTGCTGTGCCAAAGCCCTGCAAGTCATTTCTGGTGAGTGGGTTTGGGTGCCTATATCTACAGTCCAGGGATTTGGTTCATCTCAGGAGGCCTGAGGTAAGAGGCAGGTCAGGCAGAAATCATGTTGGTGGCAGCACTTTCTCTGCTTGCTGGGACGTGAGTTTTCTCAATTATGTTGGCAAAGAAGATGTTACAAAGGGAGTGCCCTGGGATCTAAGACCTATAGGATGGGGATGTTGTGGTTTCCTAGTGAGGAAGAGCTGGGAGAAAGTCTTGAAGGACAGATGTGGTGTTGAGAGAGGGATTCTAGGCAAGTTTGTCTAATTGTCAGCAGTTTTGGCATACAGAATCTAGGAAGTAGAGAGGAAATCTACTGGAGAGAAATTTACAGAGAAAATGCTTTCCCCAGTAACCCTGTCTTGCTGTATGGAAATGAACTGCTAGCAGACTTACTACAGGATTGGGGTCTGACCCTGTCTCTTGTTATCACTAGCCTATAGTTTATTGTTAGAAACTGGGGAAAGGGTAGCTAACTGTTCTTGGAGAGAGTTGGGGGAGTCTGTCAGAGTCCAGCTCTGACCCATGGAAGGGTTCTTGGGGGAAGGAGAGAGGAATGAGGAAATATTAGATGGAAATATAGGAGGAGACGATAAGAAAGACAGAGACACAGGATAGGTTCAGGAGGGCCCTGGGTCAATACCCAGCCGCCTCAAGGCTTATTCCAAAGGGCTTTTTATACAATGTCAAGGGGCAAGGCAAAAGGTCTCCCCCTTCCAAGATCAAGCACACTCTACAGCCAAGTGTAGACCCTTTAATACACCTGGTAACCACACCCATGGCCAAATCATCCCATTATGCAGCCCTGCTGGGTAAAGAAAGTCCAGATTCTTTGACCCTGAGTAAGGTCTCACTAGAGAGCCTCTGTGGGCCCCCACAGAGAGTCATCCATTTCAGTGTAAAAATAGGATTTGGGCTGCAGGTGGTGTCCAAGGGTAGGTAGGCACTCACAACCTGCCTACAGTAATACCGGAGACCTGGGCCCCAGTGACCTCCCTCAGCAGGGTCTTCCCTGCATGTTATGCTGTTACGCCTATTTTTGTTAAAATACCAACTGTATAGTATCATAAGGAGTGAGTAATCTGTCCAATATCTGTCTCCAAGTTATAAGACAGAGGTCAGGTTGGTATATACATGCTGATTAACTGAAAAGGATGAGATAATCTTCCATGCTTTTCCCCACACCAAGGTGAGGACCATGTTCCTGTTTCCATCTTTCTTTCTCCTGGGTGTGGTAACAGCATCTTATGCAGAGTCTGTAACTGAAGGTGTTCAAAGCTCCTGCCCTGTGATTGCCTGTAGTTCTCCGTGCCTGAACGGCTTCCCAGGCAAAGATGGACGGGATGGTGCCAAGGGAGAGAAGGGAGAACCAGGTGTGCCTTGAACTGTTTTCTTTGCTCTTAAAAATAGTTTTAATTATGCATGGTGTGTGTGTGTGTGTGTGTGTGTGTGTGTGTGTGTGTGTGTGTGTCCATGTTTGTGCACTCATTTGAGTGCAGGTTACTTTGGAGACTAAAGACATACAGTATCCTCCTGGAGCTGAAGTTACAGGCAGTTGTGAGCTACCCAGCATGGATGCTGGGAACTGAACTCAGGTCCTCTGCAGTAGCATTACATGCTCTGAACCACTGAGCCATCTCTCCAGCCCCTTTCTGTGACTCTACATTCCAGAGGAAACTGACTAGAGATACATGAAAAGTAAAGTCTTATTAGGCATACTGTACTTTCATCAGCAACATATCGTAATTCCAAACACATAAAGCTCCAGTTCTCTGGCATTCTGGACTACCACACAGAGTGTGGGATGTTTGTCTTGCCTGTCCTGGAAAGTGGACCTCCTGTCGATCTGTCTCATGGAACACAGGACACTTATCTCACCACAGGAAATTAAGCCTGAAGCCTTTGGAAAAAGAGCAAAAGCATAAATATTGACCCAAGTCTTGTTTGTCTTCCCACAGGTCAAGGGCTCAGAGGCTTGCAGGGCCCTCCTGGAAAGGTAGGACCAGCAGGATCCCCAGGGACTCCTGGGCCAAAGGGAGCAGTGGGGCCAAAAGGAGACCGTGGAGAGAGTGTAGGTAAGGAGATCATTTCAGAACATCTAGGCTGACGACATTCAGGGTTCTGGAGGCTAGAATGCTGGTGGGATGTGCTGTTTCTTGATGCTGCAAGGGTAGATGCCCAGCTCTGCTTCCTGATCAAGTTCCCTTGATCATTGGCTGGTTAAATACAGCCCCAGGGAGTTTCCATCAGTGACTAGGTATATATTTGAAGATCTTTTAGGAAATCCTATTTTCAGGCACTCTGTAAGGTATGGAAGTCCAGATTCTCTTTTTTCTCAGACTCCTACAGCTGGGTCTCTGACCTCAAGGAGAAAATACTATATCTAAGTGTGGGTTTATTATGTCTGTTTTACTTAAAGTGCATTGACAGGCGTGTGGACTGTATTTCACTTCTAAGAAACCAATCCAAAACTCAGTAGGTTAAACTACAGCCCTTTACTTAAACAGAATCTCATGGGTCAGTCACAGAAGGTCTGATTTCAGCTGGGCTTGCACTTATGCCTGTGGTTTACTGATGGCCAATGGTCTCACCCACACTCTGGCTTCAGTTTGGGTGTCAGCTGCTGTGATAAGCGCCAGTGAACCACAGCATTCTTATCATGCCACAGGCTATCCAGGGCTTGGCCAGGTAGCAGTGAATATACCATTCCTCAGACAGTAGCTTCAAGGCTTTGTGAGGTTTGGAACACATCCATAAAGACTTCTGCCATGTTCATAAAAGACACAGTCCAGCCCAGAATCAAGGGGTGTGACAAAAGACTGCATTTCTTTTCTTTTCCTTTCTTTTCTTTTTGAGACAGGGTTTCTCTGTGTAGCTTTGGAGCCTATCCTCGAACTCGATCTGTAGACCAGGCTGGCTTCGAACTCACAGAGATCCACCTGCCTCTGCCTCCCGAGTGCTGGGATTAAAGGCGTGCGCCATCACTGCCCGGCAAGACTGCATTTCTTAGTGAGAGAAGCTGGGACCATGTTACAGCTACCAAGTCCACAGGAAGTAGCACGTGCTCTTCCCGTTTGAATAATGAGGAACTCAGAGAGAATATTGCTGATTTCATTCATGACAAATTTCAGTAAAACCAAAACAGAACAGGAATCAAGGTGATGGCTTGGTTGGTAGAGTGCTTGTTGCCGAGCATGAGTATTTGGGTTTGATCTTTCAGCAGCCATATGAGAAAGATGGGTACAGCAGTGCTAACCTATTATCCTATCGCTGTGGAGGTAGGACACACACACACACACACACACACACACACACACACACACACACACCAACCACCAAAACAGTAACCACTCCCACCTCCACCAACAAAACAACTGAAGGGCAACAACAAGAAAAAACATCTCTATAGTGACAAAATCTCTTTAATGATTTCAATCAATAATAACTTCTTCAGAGATTTGTTTTAGCCCTAATAAAGCAGTTTGTTTGGAAAATCGCCAAGTACTCATTTGTGGATTGTTATCAAGCAATGTAATCAGTGAGCACATTAACGTGCTAGTGAAATATATATGTACATGAAATACCTTTGTGTAGACGACTAGAATTTCATTTGATTAGTTGATCAATTTATTTATTTTTGAGATAGGGTTTCACTCTGTATCCCTGGCTGGCCTGGAACTCACTTACGAAGACCAGGCAACCTTGAACTTGTAGAGATTCACTTGCCTCTGCCTGAAAGGCATTTGTCATCACTCCTGGTTCTGACTAGAAGTTTTAGGATAAAAGCCTGGGCTTTGGTGGCTCCAAAAAGCTAGGATTGGCCACATATTAGCATGTGCCCATAAACACAGGAGTATTTGAGAGAGTAATAACTGAAGGGGTCCCTAGTTCTCAGTCTGTCTTCAGTTTAAATGTAGGAGCAAACCGACTAGGCGACAGAAAGGACACACAATTAAGCAGTCCTGCTCAAGGTGTGTTTTCATTGATGACTGTCCCCAGTTCTGGTTCAGAGAGGCCGTCTAAAGGAGTCCTTCTTGCCACTGTCACTTGAGGGGACCAGTCTGATTCCTCCAAGGGGATCATCTCTGCTCTGCAGTTTTGTCTTGCCCTCATGGGTATCTGCCTTATCTTGGGAGGTGGTCTGCCCTGTGAGAATTTGATCTTCCTGGAATCTGATGAGGACATCCTCATACTTGTAGGTTAAAAAGGCAGTGTGTGACCCCCTAACCTGCTGATGGTGCAGAGGTGAGGAGGTGGTCCAAAGGAAAGGAGGCGGGGATGACAGGTGTGCTTTCTCCCTTTGTATGCCTTGTAGTTCTAAGCAAGCTGCCATGTCTTTCTTAGCGAAAGTAGCTACCAAGTGCCTGTTTGAGATAAAGCATCAGGAATAGATTGATGTTTTAGGCTGGGTAAAACCAGATTTTTTTCCTTTAATGTATATCAATGTTTTTAAAAAAAGCAAACCTTATTTAGTTTCTTTTTTTAATCTGGAAAAGATACCACACTCCCTAATATGCAGTTTGCATCCTCATCCTAACAGTACTTTTCACTGTTTAATTTTCTAGAATATGATACTACAACAATCGATGCAGAAATCGCAGCTCTACAAGCAGAGCTGAGAGGCATTAAGAGGTGTAAGTATCCTTACTCTCTTATTCAGGCAACTTGAAGTTTGGGAATTGGTGGAAGGCAGAGGACATTCACTGCATGCATATGATTTTCTAGGACCTGAAAAAAATTACTCATATTCTGATCTCCTGATATCCCCCTGACAATCATTCGGGAGAAACAGAAGCAAATGGGAATTAAATTACTTACTCAAACTCACGGAGCTCAGTGGTAGAACCAGTTTATAAAGTGCAGTGTGTCTGACTCTGGGACCACAGTCCTGTAGGGCCAGATCTTTGCTCACCAAGAATGGGATGTGGGCCACTTTGTAATCCTGGGATCTAGACCAGGCAATGGAGCCAATCATGTTTCTCCAAGTTGTGGCCAGATATTCCCAGACACTTTTGTTTAATTGTAAGTTAACAGTATGGTAGAATTCAGAATTCTAGATTACATGTACTCTACAATGCAGATCTAAACATACAAAAGCTTTGTGCCAAATGGGGGGTGGGTTGGGAGGAGAAGACTGGAGGCACAGGAAGAGGGAAGAAGGGGATCTATGATTGGTATGTAAAATGAATAAATTTTTTTTAATTAAAAAAAAAGACTGTAAGGAAAATAAGATAACAGTTAAACTCAAATTTTAGCTAAAGGAAGCATGTTTTGATTTGTGTAAGCATTTCATATGGGGTCTCATGAAGGAAGATATTCATTGTGGTGTACGCCACCAGAGAAACTGCAGTATATACCATTCAATTTGAATTTTACACAGTGAGTGCTCCAGAAGATAAGCTGATGTCACCCACATTTTTACATTTTAGGGGTGCTCTTCTCTACGGGTGAACAAGTTGGAAAGAAGTACTTTGTGAACACTGGTAGAAAAACGAACTTTAATGGAGTGAAGGCTCTGTGCTCCCAATTCCAGGCCTCTGTGGCCACTCCCAGGAACGCTGAGGAAAATGCCGCCATGCAGAAGGTGGCTAAAGAGATTGCCTACATGGGCTTGACAGACGAGAGGACTGAAAACCAGTTCTTGGACTTGAGAGGAAACAGACTGCGGTACACTAACTGGAATGATGGTGAACCCAACAACACAGGTGATGATGAGGACTGTGCGGTGCTCTTGGTAAATAGCAAATGGAATGATGTCCGCTGCTCTGACTCCTTTTTGGCAGTCTGTGAGTTCTCGGACTGAGGGTGTTTGTTTCTCAGTCCTCCTTGATGCCTTATCGTGCTCCATAAGTCCACAATTTGTTCTGAAATATAAACTAGGTAAAAATATAGACAATTAAGCATTAGTTGCCCAATTAAACTATACTGCTTTTTTTGGAATAGTATTTCCTTGTGAAGATGTAAAAATAAAATGAGTTTGGCCTTTTCATTCATGACAAACACGTGTGCTCTGTCGAGTTCTCTTTTCTCTTTGGGTAGAAGGCTTCCAGGATTTGACATCACCCTAGCTAATTCCGGAGTTCCTCAGCCCAGTCTCAGGTATTAAAAAGGCCTATTTACAGCTTTATTTCAGAGATTTAATTCCTTCCCAATGGGGCATTAAACTATATACAAAATGTAAGTCTCAAGAATTCTTTCTCTCTCTCTCTCTCTCTCTCTCTCTCTCTCTCTCTCTCTCTCTCTCTCTCTCTCACACACACACACACACACACACAATATCCATCCATCAATATATCATCTATCTATCTATCTATCTATCTATCTACCTACCTATCTATCTACCTATCTATCTACTTATCTAATAACATCTTGTAGGTAGAGGCATAGACATTTCTCTGACCCTAGAAACCCCTTAATTACTTCTCCTAGATACTGTTCCCAAAGGTAAGTGTGATTTTGATCTATATCGTAATAGATTGATTTTATCTGTTTATAAAATTCATAGAGACAGAATCATGCTATATGTACTGTTTTATGCCTTATGTTTACTTCAACCTGATATTCATTCATGTTGTCCCAGACAGCAGCAGTTTATTCCTCTCATTGCTGCACAGAACTCTCTTATATTAAAACATCATGCTTTACCTTTTTATTGTTAATAGACACAATTGACTTGCTTTCATTTTTAGTCATTAAGAAAAAACTCTTGGGGCTGGAAAGTTGGCTCCACTGTTAAGAGCAGGTATTGCTCACGCTGAGGACCTGAGTTAAGTTCCCAGCACCGTTATCAGACTCCTGTACCTCCGGCTACAGGGGATCTGACACCCTCTTCCAAATGCCATGGACATGTACATTAATGAGTGCATGCCAACACATATATACATAGTTAAACATAATAAAGATAAATCTCTGAAAAGAAGAACCCTCATGAGCCTTCTTTTGGTAGATGTGTGCACTGACTTGGTGGTTGGTTGTCGGTGGTAGGAAAAGCAGGCATTTAGATTTAATTAAAAGGAGCCACACTCCCATCAACAATGTATGTCAGTTGTAGACGTTCTACATCTCAGGGAACAGGTTGTACTTTGGTTCTTTGGATTTTGGCCATTCTTGTAGGTATAAAGTGATGTTGCTGTGTTTTTATCTTATTTTCCCAGTGTGTTATAATGATGAAAACATTCCATGTGTTAATTGCTAGCCTACACATCTTTTGTGATCTGTTCAAAGATTTGGATTTTGTTGTAATCAATCTGCACTTTTCACATTGACTTATAGGTATTTTTTACATTCAGAGTACAAATCTCTTCCATTGTGTCTATCATAGGCACTTGCCATGGTTTTTATTTCTTCTGTTATTGGCTTCCAGTGAATATAAGAGCTTAATAAAATAACTTTTGTGTGTGTCTGGGTGTTTTGCCTGCATGTATATTTTATGTATACCACATGATTGTATGGTGATGGTTGAGGCCAGAAGAGGTTAAAGGGCCCTCTGAAACTGCAGTTACTGATGCTCATGAGCTGCCATGTAAGTGCTGGGAATTGAACTCTGTTCTCCTGGAAGAGCACTTGGTGCTCTTAACCACGGAGCCATCTCCCCAACACCAAGAACGTAGTATTTTCTCTTATATTTGAGATTATAATATAATTACACAATTTCTGCCCTCCAATGTGAGGAGGTACTTTGGACATTAACACCTTCATCAGAGGCCCAAACCAGCAGACTTATGGCTTGAATGTCCAGAAATTGTAAGCCACATAAATGTTTTTATTTCATATACCGCCTCAGGTGTGCTGTACTAATGCAAAGCTGACTAATTTAATCTCCACTCATTAGTTCTAAATTACCACTTCCTCTCCCAGGGAAGATGCAAACTCCTTGTTCTTTTTGTCACAAAGACAGCATCAGACGTTCTACACAGACATAGAATTCACTATTGAAATCTTGAATTCTTTTCCCAGGTGCCTATAATACTTTTAAAATGTGTTTTACTTTCTTTTATTTGTTTTGGTATAGCTATTGTTATCCTACAGCCTCTATCTTAAATCATTGGCTCCTTTTTTTCTTGAACACTGAGAGTTTTCTTTCCTCAACACAGATGATATTTTACAGATTTATTTTATGTGTATGTGTGTGTGAATGAGTGTATGTATGTGTACCATGAGTATTCAGTGCCTGTGATACCAGGAAATGGTGTCAGACCTTACCCTGGAACTGGATCAGGAGGTTGTGAACCATTGGATGTGGATTCTGGGAACTGAACTCAGGTCCTTTGGAAGAGGAACAAGTGCTCTTAACCACTGAGCCATCTCTCCAGTCCACATAGCCTGTTTTAAGTCACAGTTCAGGAGACATCCAGGACTTCTGGCAGTTCCAGGTCTTCCTTACTTCCATTTCAGAATGAAATACATTGGCATTGCATTTTGTTGTCTCTAGCTGCATGGCTATTGTCATATGATTTGTCTTTCTTTATAGGAAGATTTCCTTTGACAGGAACAAATATTTTAGACAAAACTAAGAGAACTTCAAGTGTTTGAACCACCACATTGTCATATACTACTGTCTCCTACTGCTACCCAGGATACTTTGCCATAGAATTCTTGTGAATTTCCGGGATCACCACACAGTACAGATCCAAGGTTAGATGGTCAGACAGTGGGCAGTGTCTGTTATTTACCTAGTCCCTCTGATACCAAGAATCTAGGACATAACTTTTCTTGAAGACTTCACTAAAGACAGTTGTGTTTGTGATCCAATGAACAAAGCTTCTCCTGTTGATCCATATGGCATGCCTTGTCCTGTCTCTGAAACGATGTTTTGTCAAAATACCTAAGGCTTTAATACCCTACACTGGCATTCTATGTTGCCAAATGTAATAGAGATTAAAAAAAGGACATGAATTAGATCTGTAAGCACGGAATGTCTCAGACATTCAGACTCATGCCAGTGTTGGCCCACGCCCACCAGCCTTCTCCCGGCTGCCATCCTCCTAGGTATGTGGCTTTTATATTCCAAAATTCAGGGCTCTCAATTACAGGTTCTGAGCAGTATTTGTACCCTCAATGACTGGGGAACTAAAACCTGGAAGAATAATGACTATGAACCTGCTGCTGCTCATCCCAGTTCATAGCTTTGGATTCTGCAGTCCTGGCCCTGGGTTTGGTTCCACTTATTGGAAATGACCTTGGGCAGTGATCTTGGTTTTCTGAAGAAGAGACAGCGCCAAGTTCTGTGAGTTGTGTCTCCAATTAGGGGTCACAGGATTTGCTTGAGGCTTGGCCTTTGTTTTCTGGGCTACTGAAACACTTGACTTTAGTCTCAGGACATTAGCTGGTTTGTCTGAGTTATGTCTTGGTGATTTGCAGAGCTATGACACTGTGAGTTTGATGGAGTCCTTCAATATTATCTCCTCCTTACTGGTTCATTGTTCTTCTTCTGGCTCTGGTGTTGGAGCTTCAGGTTCCAGGGCTTGCAATGAAGCTACGATTTGGGAACTTTACTGATGAAAAAAAAAAATGGATTACAGCCTTGTCCTTTAGGATGAGGGTGGTATTAAATCTTAGGCTCTAGGTTCAGGAAGTGAGTTCTTGTGTTTTGATTTTGAGTCTGTTACTAGACCCAAGGCTTAGTATTCTCTCTCATTCTGAGGGAGCATTGGCACAGGGTGGGAGATGGGGATGTTGAATGTGAGACAATTGAGATGATTGATTCATCAAGATGATAGCAGTCAATAGATCAACCAGTACCTACTTGGTAGACCTGAGTTCCAGATTAGGGTCTGCTCTATCTGAAACTAGATGTCTTCTAGAGTTCTGATCTTTACTATGAAGTTGGTCTTTCCACAAATGGCCTCACTTATTGGTAATACAGAATCTTGATTTTTTGACATCAGAAAAATTATAGGCATTAAAGCAACTAATACAGGAGCAGCTAGGTGTTCAACATATTGAAGAATTGACCAGTCCTTGGAATTCTCCTGTATTTGTTATTAAAAGGAAATCTTGAAAATAGAGAATGGTAATAGATCTAAGATCTATTAATAAGGTGATTCAACTAATGGGCTCTTTACAGCCTGGAATTCCCTTGCCTTGTCTATTACCTAAAAGGTGGTGTATTATAGTGATTGATTTAAAAGCTTGCTTTTTTTTTTATACTTTTGCAAGAACAGGATGGAGAAATTTTTTTTTTTTTTGGTTTTTCGAGACAGGGTTTCTCTGTGTAGCTTTGCGCCTTTCCTGGAACTCGCTTTGGAGACCAGGCTGGCCTCGAACTCACAGAGATCCGCCTGGCTCTGCCTCCCGAGTGCTGGGATTAAAGGCTTGCGCCACCACCGCCAGGCAGGATGGAGAAAATTTGCTTTCACAGTGCCTACTTATATTAATTCCCAGCCTGTTAAAAGATACTAGTGGAAAATTCTTCCCCAAGGAATATTAAGCAGCCCTACCTTGTGTCAATATTTTGTACAAAAGTCATTGGAAATAATTCATAACAAGTTTCCTCAATCTATAATTTACCATTATGTGGATGACATCTTACCAGCTGATTCAGATGCAGATATCTTAGAAAAAATGTTTAAAGAAGTAAAGATAATTTTGCCTTGTTGGGGAATACAAATTGTTCCTGAAAAAAATACAAAGAGGAGATTCTATTAATTACCCAGGATATAAGATAGGTTTACAAAAATTTCAACCACAGAAAGTACAAATCAGGAGAGATCAATTATGAACTCCTAATGATTTTCAAAACTTGCTGGGAGATATTAACTGGCTATGGCCCACAACTGGATTGACAACTCAAGAACTAAGTAA